ATTTGACTCTTAGAGGTATTTGCATGAGTACTTTCGGGCAAAATGTGCGCGCGCTGAGTTTGCCTGTGGAACGCTCCAGCTCTGAGAAGGATAAAACAAGGCAGGAGAGAGGAAGCAGGAGTTGCAGGTGCTGAGGATGGGTGATGAGTTGAGGAAACCCAGGCCCTGCTCCTCTTGCTTCTGAAAGGAGATGAAGGGAGACAAGCACATCCAGGAGGGGCAGTGGCAGTAGGAAGGTCAGTGCAGGCTGAGCGCGACTTGGGAGCAGAACTGATGAACTCAGGGGTGGTGGAGTTGGGACGGTGTGGAATGAAGGATTCTTCTCAACTTCTAACCAGTCCAAAGGAGCAAAGAGAGATGGAGAATGTACTGTACCTATTTGAGGCTAGGGAAGACCAGATGCAATTTAACATGTTGAGCACAGACATTCCAATGACATTTTTAAATACATAAGCAGCAGGATGTGAGGGTCTGGGCTGTGACTTTAACTATGTGTGTCATCGAAGTATAAATGCTGTACAAAGTCTCAGGCCTTAGGATTCCAATCCGGAAGCCCATGTGGCAAGAGTTTTTAGTAGAGGATGAGTTCAGTCTTCATGCAGTGAGCGTGTAAGTGGTGGGCCGGGTGTGCTGACAAGAGAGCAGGAAAGACGATGGGTGGGGACAAAGCTAAGCATGACCCTGCGGCAGCCCACACTCCGAGCCACAAGAGAGGAGTGGCTGGGGTCAGAGCAGCCAAGAAAGGCTGGAGGAGTCGACTCAGGAGCCAAGGAATGAGGTGGCTCAAGAACAACTGTCATCAACTTTAAAAATGCTGCTGAGTTGTGAGCTGAAATAAACTTTTCTCTTTATGAAGAGTAAACAAATAAATAAGGGGATGCTGAAGTGTCACGTAAAAATACCACAATCTGCCCAGTGGTCCAGCCACACGGGGACACATCATGGAAGCCAGATTTGGCCTCAGCATCCTTTTGGGCCTTGTTCTGCACACACCAAGTCTGCAGGGCCAGCTGCAATTGCCATGCTGTGTGAGTAAGAAAGCAGCTTACCAGGGCAAGAGATCCAGGAGGCCCTGGTAAGGAGCAGGAGGAGCCCAACACAGGCAGGACCCCTCCCCAAAGTCTTGGGGGGCACGGCTGGCTCTGAGTCACCTCCCCTGAGGATGGCCAACTTCTCCCCCTAAAACGTATGCCCAGAGCTACATTGTCCCTCAGGAGTCTGGGTCCGAGTGGGTCTTTATAGGACCTCTCTGGGTATCAACAGCCCAAATCTGAAGGCAGGTCCTGTGGGCAGAGTAGGGGCCTGGTAGGAGCCAAGCTGTAGTCCAGCTTGGAGCCTCTCACAGGGGAAGAGGACCTCCTGGTCTCCGGGGACCTGGCTCACACAGGCAGCACACAGGGAGTGAGCAGCTACATTTTGCAATTCTGCTAATTCCAACATGGTTCTATATGACTATGCTAATAAAAAGTGCAAAATGAGCTATATTTTAAAAGCTAATCAAGGAAAAGGAGGTGATAACCACAAAAGCCACTGTATCAGGACGTTCCACTAAAGACATGGAAAAGGGGTGTATGAGGACCTCCAGGTGTGGGTAGTGCTGCTCCCTCGGTCAGGGTGGCTGTACCACAGTGCTGGCTTTTGACTTGCTAAACTGCACACTGTGTGTAATGTGGTAGAATTTTAAGAGTGCAGTGGGTGTCAGCAACCTGCAAACCACGCCCCCTTCACAGGGACAGGTGGGAACCAGGTGGGATGCACTGCTGAGTGTAGGGGCAGCAGGAGGTGAGGTGAGGACAGATGAGGGTTTGTGAACATCGCCATGAAAGAGGCAGAAAAAGGCAGCACAGAAGCCAGAGAAACCCAGGGGACGATATTTCATTTTAACATTAAAAAAGGAATTCTAAGGCAGAAGAGATGAGATGAGGACAAAGTGCTGACAGAAGTGTCCAGAGGAGGCAGCAGCTGAAGATCCAGGATGCAAAACTGCCCAAAGGAAATCTGACTCTTAAACCGCGGCACTGGCAGGTCCAAGTTTTCACTGAGCCACATTAGGTGCACATTCCACAAAAAATCTGCAAACAATCAAAGTGTATGCACCTGAGTGTGTGCCTATCGTCACCTGTGTGCATTTCCAGCACCTCAGGGTCAGGGCTGGTGCTGCCCTTGGCATTCAGACCCTCTCCCTCCCACTCAAACTGCTGGCAGCGGCTCATCTGTCACCCTTCCCAGCAGTTTGCCCCTTCTGGGCCATCGTGTAAGTGGCACTGCGCAGTACATAACCATTACCACAGCTCAGCAGAGAACCATCCAAGTTTGTGTGTGCCATCATCTCTATTCATGACTGAGTAGTGCTCCACTGCACAGATGGGCCTGTTTGCTCACCCATTTTCCCACTGAGGTGAATCTGTGCTGTTTCTGGGTTTGGATAATTATAAGTAAAAACACTACAAGCACTTAGGTGGTGATCTGTGCATGAATACAAGCTTTCATTTTTCTAAGGTAAATAAGTACCTGGGAGTGGGGCTGCTGTGTGAGACGGCAAGTGCACATTTCACAGCACAGCAAACCGTTGCCCTGTGCTCAGAGCGGTGGCCAGCCTCCTACCACCACCAACAGGTGACGCGAGTTCCAGCTGCTCTGCATCCCTGCTTGGGGGCTGCTGGCAATTTTAACTTTAGCTATGCTAACAGATATGCAGCAGTGTCTCACTGTGGGTGGAAACTGAATTTTGTTAATGGTCAGGATTACTGGGCCTTTTCTTGTTTGGTTATTTGCCACTGATAATATCTTTGGTAAAATGTTCAAAAAAATCTGGTGTGCCAATTTTTGTTTGGGTTATTTTCTTGTTGAGTTTTGAGAGTTCGTTATATATTGTGGATGTTAAGTCATTTGCCAGACATGAGATTTGCAATTATTAGTAGTATTACTCGCCTTCTTTATAATATTTCTGAGTAAAATTGTTCAATTTTGGTGAAGTCTAATTTATTAATTTATTAATTTCAGTTATAGGTCATGCATGTGGTGCTATATTAAGAACTCTGCCTAAACTGAGGTCATGATTTTTCTCCTGCATTCATGTCGAAGAGCTCTATGCCTGCACACTGAGCTTAAGATCCACTCTGAGGAACCTGCTGTACACTGTGCGAAGCATGGGTTGGGGTTCCTTGTTTTGTTAGACTTCTCCATGGAACTGCCTTGTCACACCCATGGACAGTATTTTGTGGGTGTGTTTCTGGGGTCTGCTTGCCAATCCCAGCTGCCTTGGTTACTGCTGCTTTAAAGGATGACTGACATCTGTCCGTATCTCCCAAGATCCTGCTCAGACGCAGGCTGAGGAATTGCTACACCTACAGAGCCTTCTGGGGGCAGGGATACTGCACTGAGGCCTTAACCCACGAACACAGTATGTCCTGTCCATGTGTGGCTATTTTTATTATTATTCATTTATTTATTTATTTTGGCATCAGGAATTGAACTTGGGATCTTGTACTTGCTAGGCAGGTGGCAGTACCACTGAGCTAAATCCCCAGCGAGGTTTTTTTTTTTTTTTCAGTCAGCGTTGTACAGATTTGAGCATGCCGGCCCTGCACATGCCTTACTGGACCGATGACAGTTGGGTATTTCAGTGCTGACTTTGTATCCTTAAGCCCGGACAATCTGTTAAACTCAGAGACCAGCACTAGATGTGTGCAGTTGTGCTCCATGTGGTACTTCTTCCTTTCTAGTCTCAGCCGTACATGTACTTCTGTCACTCCCTTGTGGGACTGCAGTTCAGGGTCCTTTCCCTGGACAGAGACTGGCCTCAATGTGACCCCTGTATTACACAATGTCCCTAATGCCTGCTGTGCTCTTCTCCCGGTGACCCCCACACAGCATTACCATAACCTAAACTTGCATGCAGTTGTTTCCACATGTGATCAGCAGGACAGCAGTGGCTGGCACAGAACAGTGGCCTGCAGCATCCATGTAAATGCTACATTCTCTTGTCCGCACACTCAGGCTGTTCAGTGCCAAAAAGGAAGACCGAGGACAGAATCAAGTATATATGCTTCATGAAAGAGAGGGCGTTTGTCCTCTGAAACAGAATGGGGGAGGAGGTGACTCATCAAGATAGAGACATTCTGAATTGGAAAGAAACCCAGGAGCTCATTCACTGAAAATGGCTGTAAACTATATTTCACACAAATAAACACAAAGCAATGCTAGTACATAATTAGGTAAGGTGATCCCCAAATGCCACCAATGCAAAGATACCTTTTTTAGGATTTCAACTTTTCATGTTTCATGAGTTTAATCATGGATCTCTTAAACCTCTGGTAATGGAGTTGCAGGGTTAAGTTATAACACTGGAAAAAAACGAGAGCCAGTCTTGTAAGTCTGTCTGTAGTTTGTTTGCACAGTATAATTGTGCTGGCTTCAATTAACACAGAATTAATAATACATTGTAGGAGAGGAGGGAGGCGAACAGTTGGATGCAAAATATTACCAAGCAATAAATGATGACCTTTCATCTGAAAGTGTTTCTAGGATGGTCAGAGCAAGAATAGAATGGTGACAGACCATTTCAATTTTTATGACTTATGAAAATGAAAATATATTCCAAAAGTACCTTTAGTGGACAGAAATAAGAACAAATGATGTTACGGGTAGAAATACACTAGACAAAACATACACAAATAGGATTAAATGGACATGTTTCATCCTAAGTAAGCCTATCTGTAAAAGCAGTCACTGGATTCTTTCAGCTGTTCAAGCCATCCCCAGCACTGGTCACATTATTTCTGGGTCAAACACAGCGCAACACTCAGTTGAGTGTAAGAATACGCACTTGGTGTCTGCAGCCCACATCTGTCTGACCCGTTTCTACCTGCAGCTCCAGTGGTCCTGGCCACTCGGCCTCACCCTCCCCTGCCCTGTGTCCCCTGCTCCCAGGAGGGGCAAAGACCTGGAGCAGTTCTCTCAGGGAGACCCCACTGTCAAAGGTCAAGCACCAGGCTTACCCACTCGTAAGACAGCACCCAGCAGCCACGCGCAATCCCCAGCAGCACATTCAACGTGCGCAGCGGCTTCCCGGCCAGCACATGCGTTGTGGTCTCGCAGACTTCAGACACCAAGGAAAAGCCTTTCAGTGCATCCACCACCTGGATGACGACACTCTGCTTCCTAGCAGGGAGGAAACAGAAACTTGATGAGTGTGTCTGCTGCTCATGAGTATCATGGCAATTAAACTGAATAACAAAAAACTAGAACATGAAATTTTTAATTGGCTCTGGTTATAGCGCTTGTGTCTTCATTTTTTGACAGTCAGTAACATGAAATTTAGAAATAAAAACCTCTCCAAATCCCAATTCAAACTAATCTAAGAAAACAGGCTTGAGGCTGTAAATGGCAGGCAGCCCCAGGGCCACTGGTCTGCTGGGGACCGAGTAGGGACTGGGCCCCTGGCCACAGCCCACGAGTGCCCTCCCTTCCACACAGAGATTCACCTTTCAAGCACCCTGGAGCTGACCTGCACAGTCAGGACCAAGTTGTTTACTTTATTTTGAAAATACAAAAATTTCTGATTGTTACACACAGGTTTCCTACTAAGACAGGAAAAGACCCGCTTTATTAAGTCATTGTATCAAATCTTGAGGCAAACTCAACAGATGCATTTTGGTTTCATGAAGTTCACTATTGTTTACCTTCTGTTCTGTCACTCTCATAATGCTGCATGTACTGTTTCGCTTTGTTATTAAAGATAGTCTCTCTATCAAACATCCTTTCTGAGCAACTCTCGGTTCTCCTCTCTTCCTTTTATAACAACCTTTCCAACAGCTTGTTCTTTTTCTTTGCTTCTTGCTCTTTCCTGTGAGGTTTGAAGCTCCCAAGAGAACCTGAAGGATGTGTGAGGCCATCCAGACCACAGTGACCACAGCATACTCGGTGAGCCACAAAGCCACGACGTCCCTCTGCACAAGTTACTCCAAGGGGGCAGAGGCCGTGGCTTCCCTGCTGGGACCTGCCATCTCCAGGGCTCTTCCTCTAACTTTCGGGGCCTCGGAAATTTATCTCTAGCATGTGGTCTGCCTGCTAGGTGCAGGGTGGAACCACACCAATGTTTTAATTTTTTAGAGCTCTACAGGGTGGAGAAGCTGAGTGTGAAAGTCAAGATCCAGCCTGTCCCAGCTTGAACTTATCATCATCATGAAGAAATTTAGGGAAAAAAAATGCAAAAAAGACAAAATAAAACTAAAACTGGGCCGGGGATTTAGCTCAGTGGATCCACCGCCTGCCTTGCAAGCACAGGGTCCTGAGTTCGATCCCCGGTACTCAAAAAAAAAAGCAAAAAAGAATAAAAACCTCTAAACTATATCTCTAGAACTCTTCAGTTCTGGATATCAGATTTTCTCCTCCAAGTCTGGCAGCAACCAGCAGTTATTAAATAATGAGTAACAGTGTCTTTTCAAGGATCCCTCAATATGGAATCAAAATGTCCAGATCTGAAGACATACAAGAAATCTAAGATGAAAAAGATTGAGAATATGGCCGGCAAGGAAAGTTTTCTTTTTAAAATCATCAATAAAAAGTAGTCATTAATGTTTGTTTTTAATTTAGGAAACAAATACGGACTTTAAAAAATATTATGCACATATTCAATCCTAATTTCCATGAGACTAAGCATTCAATATACTTCATAGTACATTTACAACATTTTGTGTATGCTACTTTCCCACTCCACAATGTGTGCTGTGTAGTTAAGCATGAATCCTTTCATTTCCATGCCACAGGCGGGAAGAGGAGCTTCACAAAGCTACACAAAGGGGTCAAACATGCACTCTGCAGCAGCATACTCTTCACTCCAGTGTCCCAGTGTTTTGATGAATGTCTTAAAACCTCAAAGCCTATGATTGATTTAAAAAGTATGGTTTTCTTCTTTAACAGGAATTAAAAAATCTGTTACAAAGACTCTAGCCCTGTTTTTGTTGGATGCTCTCTACTGTGCTAAATGTGTAAGGAAGACGATAAGCGCGTGCCAGCAGCCTATTAACCCTTCCGAGAGATGCAGACAGCCACTCCAATGGACGCGGAAAGCCTTTTGCCACTGTGTTCTTTAAGACCTTTAAGGAAAATGTTTTGGCCAGCATATCTGTTTATTGAGTATCTATGGAGTGAGGGGTGGACAAACAAAGCCATTAGGAGTGAAACAAGCATGCTCAATCCTCAGTGCTGGGCATTAGCAAAACAGAGCACAGAACCTGTTAATGCTGTGTCAACAACCCGACATGGATTAAGTACTAAACGGTTAACACTAAACCACAGTTTCAGCTCTCAGTGATAGTCTCACTCACATTTTAATCACTAGGTAAAGCAACAGAGTACAGATCTATGGTTTGCTGAAAAGGAACATCAGTCTGTGCAAGAGGCCGAGCTCCACACTGAAGACAGCGTTGACTAAACAGCCGATACTTACTCTGATGGCATGCTTGTCATGACTAATGTTCTCGTTGGCTGAGACTGCAAGAGAAGGAACAAAAAACAGTCAGAAACATAAAAAGAAACTTTTCCCATACAAATAAACTTTAATAAGTTTTTGAAAAGTTACATCATTTAAAAATAAACAGTTAAGCATATATCAAAGAAAATAACTTTATATTCCCGGAAAAAAATAGCCCAAGAGATAGAAATTTAGATACTATCCCAAAACCAACCCAACATAATGGAGACACAAGGTGAAAGCACAGACGCTGCCTTCCTTCTCGCTCAGTCAGCCAGCGTATCTCCGCCATGAGGAGAGGGCAGGCAGGGCACGGTGAGGCTCGGCCCTGACCTGTCCCCGTCCCCATCCCCATCTTGTGGGCAGCCCTGCACACCCACCGCAGACACACGTGTGCTTCTCCTGAGTGGCCGAGCAGGTCCAGCACACACAAGAGCATCAGTCCACTTCCTGTGCTGGCGTCTGCTATTACCTGGAACTGTGCAGTTTCTTAAGAGATTTTTAAATACTTTTTACTTAGTAAGAAATGTGTGTTGAATGCAAAAATGTGAATGCTATTGAAAAATATATACATAATTAGAAATATGAATATGAATGCACTGTAATTCTATCAGCCAGAAATGACTATTATTTGGTAATATGTTCAGCCTAATGTGCAGTCTATGGGTTTGCGTGTGCATATAAATGAATTCACACTACTCATGCACCTCCATGATTCTGATGAGGGATTGCAGGTGCAGCCCACTGTGCGGTTTAAGTGGTGAATTGCTCCTGCACACACACTCACGTCTTGAATGGTCAATGTGCACTAAAGCAGAAGAACAAAAGGCACCAAAGGACAACAGGCTGACAAAAGCCACTGACTTGAAGATATATACTCTGTACGTAGGGAATGCAGAGAACTTAGAGTGAAGAAGGAACACAAATCAAAAAGACTTTCAGAGGGAGAACTCAGCACTCAGGAGGCGAGGCAGGACATTCCTAAGTTTGAGGCTAGGCTGGACTACATAGCTAGACTCTGTCTCTAAAAAGGAAGAAATCTGAGATGTGACAGTTAAGCTAACAGACAACTGCCCCTTGCCTTTGTAGCCATCCTCTGGAATACACACCTGCTGGCTCTCCCATGTTTCTGACATCAAAGGTAGAGCAACTCCTGTGCAGCTCTGGTTAGGCTTGGAGACCAGACCTTTATGGGAGTCTCTATGAGCAGATGAAGCCCATGCTAAACCCAATCCTGCTCCTCCAGGCCACTCTGGCGTGCACTCTGCACAGGCCCAGGGATCTGACACCCCCAAGAGGCTCTGTGGGTGCCACTCCTCTCTGGGGCCACATGGAGGAAGAAGGAAAGCACTGGACCTCTGGAGTTGCTGACCCAGCTTCTCCCATGTCCCTACCCTGCCAACACTGCTTCTCCTCGTGCTCACTCCCTGCTCACCAAGGGGGCCCTGATACCTCCTAACTTAAGACCCAGCACATGCCTCCCTGACTCCAGACTCACCATTCTGCCTACCGGACATCTCCACTAGAGTCTAATCTAGATCTTATATTGAACGCAATCAAAGTAAAACCTCATCTCTCACCGGCCAAGTAGATAAGAAAAAGAGAGGGATGAGAACCAAACTAGAAATGAAGAAGTAAAACAATACTCACAGATGAGATGATTTTATATGCAGACTATCCTAAAGAATCCAGAAAAAACTATGAAAACTAATAAATTCAACAAAATTGTAAGATACAAAATCACCCAAAATTCAGTTGTATTCTGTAAATTAGTAATGAAGAATTTGAAAAGGAAATGAAGCAAACAATCCCACTTATAATAGCATCAAAAAAGAATAATAAAATACTTAGCAATACATTTGTAAGAGTTATGTACTGAAAGTAAAAAAAAAAAATGTTGCTGAAACAAATTAAACATGACCCAAATAAATAGAAATGTATCCTATGCTCGTGCGGTGAAAGACTTAATTTTGTTAAGATGTCAGTACTACCCCAGGCAATCTGCAGATTCGGTGCATACCCTGTCAAAATTTTAATGGTGCTTTCTTCTCTTGTTTTTGCAGAAATGGAAAAATCCAGAGCCAAATTCATACAGAATTCCAAGGAATCTCAAATAGTCAAAACAATCTTGAAGGTGAATAACAAGGTTAGAGAACTTGTAATTCTCACCTGTAAAACTTAGTGCAACACTACCTAATCAAAACTATTTTGGGGCCAGGGATTTAGCTCAGTGGTTCTGGTGCCTGCCTCACAAGCACAAGGACCCGAGTTCAATCCCCAGTACCAAAAAATAAAAAACAAAAACAAACAAACAAAAAAAACTGTATGGTACAGGCACAGGGACACGGGTAGAGGGACAGAATAGAATGGAACTGAAAGTTCAAAAATAAACTCTGACATCTATGGTCCATTGTCCTGACAAGGATGCCAAGACTGTTCAATGGGTAAAGAACATTATCTTCCACAAAGGATGACGGAGAAAAGCCAATATTCACATGGAAAAGAATGAGGCTGGACCTTTTACCTTACTCACATATACAAGTTAACCTTTCCCACATATATAAAAGTTAACTCAGGGATTCAGCAAATCCCTGAATCTAAGGCTGAAAACTATAAAATTCTTGGCAGAAGAAAGGCAACAGTTCCTTAAATATGGCACTAAAAAAAAACAAAAAACAAAAAACAAAACAAAAACAAAAGACAGGCCTTACCAACAATATTAGGAAAATGAAGAGACAACCCAAACAATGGCAGAAAATGTTTGCCACCATGTATCTGACATGGGCCAAATAGTCAGAATATATAAAAACTCCTATGCCTCAATAAAAAATCAAAACCCAATTTAAAAAGTGAACAAACAAAAGGGAAAGAAAAGTGAGCAGGTAATTTGAGTAAACATTTCCCCAAAGGGAATTAGCAGTGACCACTAAGAGGGGAAGAGATGCCCACATTGCTTGTCACGGGGGCTTCCTATCCCAGTCTGAGTGAGAGCATCCTTTGCCCTGCTAGCAGCTTATTCAAAAGCGGACATACCAACTAAGTGGGAGGTAACTAGCGCTGGTGGATGCAAAGAAGCTGGAAGCCACACATGCTGCTGGAGGGACTGCAGACCAGCAAGGAGTTGAAGGAAACAGTTCGGGGGCTGACAAAAGGACTAAGGCCCTGCAAGCTGCATGGAGTTTTCGCTGGAGCATGATCTGAACAGCCAGGAGACAGAAAGAGCCAGTGCCACTGCATTTCCTGATGCTGTGAAGTCAGCCTGGATAGTCCAGAAAGAGCAGTGATTTAATTCACACAGGTCTGGAGACTGGAAAGGCAAATGCCAAGGCAGCAGCACCTGGTGAGGGCTTTCCTGTGTCTTCTCATGAGAGAGCTTAATTGACCATTATGAAAATCCCCTTCTGTGATAAAGAATGCCTTCCCATGATAACAAGACTCATCCATTCAGCAAGGCTTCTATGTTTTTCTATTGTTTTGTACTGGAGACTAAGCCACAAAGCTTCCAGCCAGGATCACAGGCGTGTGCCACCATCATGCCCACCTGTCAAAGTGGGCTCTGGGGACTACACACACACACACACACACACACACAGCCCAGTGTCCACCGAGAGAGGAGCAGCCATGTACATGAAGGTCCCCAGGACATGAACAAGTGAGGTTCTGTCCCCTGAACACTCTGGACACACAGGGACAGACACCGAGACTCTGCCCATGATGCTCTTGGAAGGGGCACTCGCCAGGGACAGAGGGCTAGGGCCACCAGGGGCCAGGCAGGGAAGGCGTGGCATTGCGAATTAGGCCTCAAGGACATGGAGGTTCAGCTGGGGCTGAGGAAAGGTCTGAAGACAGACACTGGCCACCCTGCACAGTAAGCGGAAGGGCTCAGAGTAGCATACTAATGTGGCTAAAATGGCATTGTCTATTACACACAACACTGCAGTCAGAGAGAACACCTGGAGCACTGCTCTTCCTCCTTAAGCCCACCATGTCTGCAGCCTCACTGGCTAAGGCAGCTCTGCTGTCAGGTTGGAGGCCATTTCCCTCCACACCAGCTCGTGTCGGTCCTCTCATTCCACACACGACCTGTGACACTCTGCCCACTCAGCCCAGCGTGTGCCCCTCCCCACAGCCCCACGCGGGGAACCCTCTCTGGCCCTTGCTCCTCCAGCTTGTCCAAGATGGTTCTGCTCAGCGCAGACCACACCGCGTCTCGTGTGCATTTATCTTGCTACTGGCTGTCCTCGCCCTCCCTCAGACGCAGAAGCGGAGTCCACCAATGCAGGAACTTTGTTTCCTACTTTTTCGCCAGTACTTTGAACAGTGCCTAGCAGACAACAGGAAAATACTTGTTAGCACTTCATTATAAATGATCATACAAAATAGGGAATCAAAGTAGATATGTACTGATCCATCTTTATATACACACATATATTTCATTTCATCTATTCACTGTTCTATGACACATTCTACGACCACAACCATTAACACAGTCCAAGCGAGAGAACCATGCCGGGATCTGTCAGGGCCTGTATGATTCCAAGTCCACCTGAAGGCTGCCTCACATCCCAGCCCACGCTGAAGGAGAGAAACTTTGTATAGGGGAACTCCAATCCCCAAGTGGAGAGAAAAAATATGCTGAAGACAAGAATAGAATAGAAACTAACTTTGTGCATCTACACCTCTGACCTGCGGATATCTGATAAGAAACTGAAGATCCTAAAGCTTCTTCTCTTTTTTTTTAAGTATAACAAAAAGGGGAGAAAAGATCTATAAGCAAGAAGACAGACAGCTACCATGAGCTGAAAGCCCCCTAAAGCTTCTTTGATCTGGTCCAGCTGCAGAACCCAGAGGAAGTGAGCAGTGCCCTCAGGCACATGGTGCCTGCTGACACAGAGAGGCGGTGCAGGTACAAGCTGTGTTATGGACGGGTCCAGCCCAAATACAGTGGTGAAATGGAAAGGGCGAGCTGTAATGCTAGTCAGCACATCTGCTCACTGACCATGCAAGTGAGGGTATGAGA